TTGAATTGAAATTAATTGCATAAAATACATTAAAGTTTTAAATTTACAATAAGCAGCGTATAGATAGCATTATCAATTATAATTTAATAATGTAACAAAATAATTTGTATGATTCATTCATTGTATGTTATATTTATATTTATAAAATCATATATATATTTGTAATTATATATTCTTTTAAATTTATGATCGCACAATTGACTCAAGCTAGTAGTAATGCAAGTTAAAAATATCTGAAGCCTTTCATAAAAAAGAGAGAAACCTTAGATATGACTTACGACTCCTAATATACTATTGAAACAGAATCAATCTGATATATTTTATAATATGAAGAGTACCTACATTTTAAATAATATATCATTTGAATTATATGATAAATGCAAAGTAAATATATGCTGAAAGAGAAAAAAATACAATATTGCTACAATTATCTTAGTTAATATAAATTATAATATTTAAATATTTTCTAGCATGACATAGAAAAACATGACAATCGAGGAAGAACACCACTAATGTTAGCAGTAACCTTGGGTCATATAGATTCTGCTGTAGTATTGTTACAGCATGAAGCTAATGTCAATACAGAGAACACTCAAGGATGGACTGGTAATTTATTTGGCCTTTGTATTTTATCTGTCTGTGTAATTCTTTTGAACGTTTACACTTTCGACAATTTTATTTATTTTTATTATAATCAGTTTAATTTATTTTGATATAGTGGTTCAAGAAGCAGTTGGTACAGGAAATCCTGAATTGCTGCAATTGGTACTTGCTAGAAGAGATTATCAGAGATATTGTAATCGAGTGGCTGGTATACCAGAACTACTTCATAAACTTAAACAGGTCAGTTTTATATAATAACTAATACGTGATAATTCAATACATATACACAAAATATATAATCTCTTTTATTGAAAGAGGAATTTTTTTCTGCAAGTTCTATAAATTAATATTAATCCTAGTATTTCTTGTGTGGACTGTCATTATGTGAAAGCTAATTGACTTTCCCATATTCTTGATTGTTAATCTGATGGTCTTAGTAATAGAAATCCTTTTCAGGCGCCTGATTTTTATGTAGAAATGAAATGGGAGTTTACAAGTTGGGGTAAGAAACAGAGAATTTAATAATATCTGCTTTTACTTATAATCTTCAAGATTTACAGTTTAATTTATAACTTGGACCTAATTGCAATTTATACACTTATTTAATTCACTTTTAATAACATATATGGTTAACTGTCATTGTTTCTGTTGACTAGTTCCTCTTGTATCTCGGATGTGCCCAAGTGATACATATAAAGTTTATAAACAAGGTAGTAATGTGAGAATTGATACTACTTTATTAGGCTTTGATCATGCAAATTGGCAACGTGGTAATCGAAGCTATGTCTTTAAAGGACAAAGTAAGCACAGATATCTTTAATAAATATATACTAATCTTATTAATATTCGTGCATGAGTATCGTACAATTTCATTTTTTTTTAAATTGTGATTGATTATTATGTTTTGGGAATGTCAATTATTTGTTTATTATTAAATTCCGTATGTTAATACAAGCTCAATTCCACCTACGGCAATTAGATGAACGTAGCTGTGTGTTCAATTTGGATGGTTACACAGGTGATACAATCCTAACATTTAATTCGCGCATTGCATTGTTAAAAATTTTATAAAAAGATTTTTTATATGCATAAGTACAGGAGACTTTTTAATATTAACACTATATGTTTCTTATTATATTCTAATTTCTCTTATTTTTCTTTTTTTTTTCGTTTTTTCTCTTTTTGTTCCCGTTGATTTTTATAAATATAATTGAATAAATTGACGATTAAAAATAATGTAAGACAAAACATTTTTATATCACACATACACATATACATATGTTTAGATAATGTGTGATATGATAATATGATAAGACAGTTATATCGTTTTTTTTATTGAAATCAATATAATAAAATACTTTATAAAATTTATAACATTTTTTTGTAGATGATGGGGCAACGATGATGGAAGTAGATCACGAAACAAGAAAAGTTTATGTTGAACATATGAAACTTATAGGAGGTGATAATATACAATTATTGGAACCATCTGAAGAAGGTGTGATAGCTCGACTTACTAATCCTATAGTTACAACTTATATAGATACAGATAAAATTAGTTTTGAACGGTAACTATCTATTATTACAATACTTAATAATGTTATATACATATATATATACATATATATATATTTGTTCGTATCTATTTTAACAATATTATTTATGTTGAATTAGCAATAAAGCAGGTCTGTGGGGATGGCGTTCTGACAAAAGTGAAATAATAAATGGTCATGAGTGTAAAGTGTTTAGCGCAAGCAATGTAGAATTAATAACTAAAACTCGATTAGAGCACTTGTCTGAAGCAGATAAAGCAAGGGCTCGAGCACCAAGAACACCTTTACAATCATTTCTTGGTATTGCAGAACAGCAGCAGGAGAGTTGTAGCACTGTTGCTACCAGTGTTAACTGCTGAGGAATATTTTGACCCAGCTATAGATTTAAATGGAAGAGACATAGGTAGACCAAAAGAAGTTAATACAAAAATACAAAAATTTAAGGTATTTTATATATACATTGAAAACTATATTTATATACACATATATTATATTGTATACTAATTAAAGCAATTTCTTTATATTCAGGCAACTTTATGGTTAAGTGAAGATTATCCATTAAGTCTTCAAGAACAAATCATGCCAATTGTAGATTTGATGGCTATATCTAGTTCACATTTCGCAAAATTAAAAGATTTTATTCAAATGCAACTTCCAGCTGGTTTTCCTGTTAAAATTGGTAAGATGTTAATTATAATATGGTATATATATATATATGTATAGCTGCAATATATATTGAATATATATACATATTGCACATAAAATATTTAAAATAATCAATTCTTTTCTATAGAAATTCCATTGTTCCACATTCTCAATGCGAGAATAACATTTGGAAATATATTTGGCTTAGATCAAGAAGTGCCACATGTAGGTAATTTACAAGAAACTAATCGTGTAACATGTTTAGTTGATGATATTTGTTTCGAAACACCTAGTGGATATGCCAAATTAGGTAAAACTTCGTTTTATATATATATATATGCATATATTCTACACTTAATACATATAATGTATTTAATTCACATTGGTTGAATATAGGTGCGGAAGTTAGAACACAATTTAGTATTGAAGAAGAGGACGATTTACTACAGTTTGCTATTCAACAAAGTCTTTTAGAAGCTGGCAGTGAACGCGACGAGGTATTGTTTTTCTTTATATTTTGTTTTATAATTAGACAAATATCGTATGTTCTTCCTGTTTTACACGAAAAATATTATTTTATGTAGGTTGATATATGGGAAGCATTAAGAGCGCAGAAGCCATCTAGACCAACTACACCTAACATGACCACTGAAGAAGAAAGGCAGCTTCAGAGGTATGCAATAAACACATACTAAAGAGAATGTTATCGATGTTCTGTTTTCAGTTAATTTTATTATTAATTTTGCATGTTTTTGTGCTACAATTCATGTTCAGGCAGGTGGGTAATTTTATTGCAAATATCAACTTCGGGTAAATTTTATTCATGCAACAGAAATTATTCATATTTAAATTAATATAAACACTTAATATTTAAATTACAAAGAATTTAAAAAATCCGTAGAAAGTATTAACAAAATAAATGTCAATATAAATTTATGAAATATGTTTCATATCGCTAAAAATAATTTTTTTTGAACAGGGCAATTCAGGCTAGTTTAGTGCTGTATCAAGAAACGGCTGGCTCTACAGAAGGTACTGCAAATTCAGCGGGTATAAATGAAAATGAAGATAGCGATTCTCTCGAAGACACTGCAGAACAATTAAGATTAGCATTAAAGCTTTCCGAGCAACAACAAATAGAAGAAGAGCAACAACGATTGCTAGAAGAAGAAACGTTTCGTCATGTGCTGGAGCTATCTTTGACGGACAAGTAAACTTCCAAAGTGTATAATAGTGATAAAAACAAATTTGCTACAGTATACTTCCAGAAAAGTGAAAACTTTCAGTCTTGTCAAGAAACGGGACTGTACAAAAAATCATTTCCTACATTTCATAGATTGCAAAGTGCATTACGAAGTAATAATGTTGCTTATGATGAACACTTGTTATTGAAGTATATAGTTAATCAAGTCAAAAGGTGGAAATAGTATAGTAGTAGTTAAGCGAATGAATAATTTAAATTATGTTATTTATTTCTTAGCTACATTTTATATGAGACAAAATCCTACAATACTATAGACATCTCAGCAAGCATGTAACGAAGTCTTGAAAATTACAGCTTTTTGAAAAAGATACAGTCGACAAACAATCAAATAGTGTTTGTGTAAATCCTATTAACTGAAAGTAAATAATATAAGTTATGACTGTTAGTATCTAGAATAAATAGCATGTAATTCTCAAGCCTTCAAAAATTATTCGTTTAATCCTTTCTCCTTGATTTAAAATTTTACTTCTATAAATTTATAAGTGCATATTAATGATTGCAATTAAGATGAAGAAAGATAATTATTATCTTAATCAAATCAAACATTTTTACAATGATCCCTTTTCATATCTACAATAACATAATTCTATACAATATTTTAATGCAATGGCATGTAATGAAATATTAGGAATATACAGGAAGCATTTATAAATATTCAGCCCTCTTTCCAAAGCTTTTCATAAAAAATAAACTGAGGATGTAAGATTAGTGCAAAGATTGACAGTATATTATTTATTAGTTTAGATAAGTAATTTATTTTTGTATGTTATTTTGTTGATATCTTATTAGCGAATTATATATATATAAAAGGTTTAATGTGTAAAAATATGAAATATTATTTATGCACTTAAAAGAAGAAATTGATTACTATATCCATTATTTTTATTAAAAAAAAAATAGTTACAAGGGTGTCGCGATTTCCTTTTGTATTAAGGTTATATAATTTATTATCGGAATATTATTAAAACATGATTACATTTTGCTTCTGGACTTTATAAATAAAAAAACTGCATTCATATAAGCATGTATAAGTATAATCACTTTTGCATATATGCATGCACTCATCAAATGAAGATGTGTAGAAAAATAGCAAATAAGAAATTATTCCTTGATGACATAATAAAAATTAGCAGAATTAGCGGCGGAAAAACCGGCAGTCATTAGACTGCCATATTTCTGCTATTCAAATTCCGATTGTGCTCTGAAAGATAATTAAAATCATAAGTATTACAATTAATCAAAGGAAAACTATATCAATCAACATTCTTTTATACAAACTTTGTAAAAATGGTGCCAAGTATAGTAGCACTTTGTAAATAACGTTGTTCATTTTTATGCGCTTGCTGATGCCATTTTTTGCGTATAGCATTCCATCGTTCAATATGATCTTTCATTAATTGCTCTCGTGTTTTGAGAATTTGTCCTTCCTGTAATTACGTTATGTACAATTTGTATGTGTTATAATACAATTGTTAACACAAAAAATGTATTAGTATACTTCTTTCTTATTTTTAATACTTTAACAGAGTAGCCATGAATTATTTTAATAATTCTTTGATCAACTTTTTATATGAGCTAAGGTATACATGGGATGAGAATTGGGATCAAATTCGAGACCTGTCGACTATAAATCAATTACTTTTACATAGTCACGAGTAACTTGTCTATAACTGAATTATTAATATAAATTCAAATATTATACATTTGTCGAAATTATTGACTCACATAATCTAAATTCAAATCATCTTTCTCTTCAAGTATAGGGGATGGAATGCGATTTCTTGGTATGGCTTCTTCACGAGGCAAAGGAGGTGGCAAATAATGGACATCATTTAGCTCACCATCAGTACCAATTAAATTATTTTCCGTGTTAACTTCGTTAATTATTTCTGGACTTGGACTACGCACTCTGATCACAAATTAATGTATTTATTTTAGTTTTGCAAAAAAGTATAAAATTGTATAAAGAGAAAAAAAAATTGAGAAAGTATTTCGATAATGGTTTAATTTAATCATTGAAATATTGTCTTTTGCTTCTTATTATATATAAATTTTTAAATTATAAGAAATGCAAAAATATTGCAGTATAATTAAGAAATATAATAATATTATTAATTATCATATACATGAAAAATTCTAAAATATGATAAAATAAGAGAATCACTTAAGATTTAATATAATAAAATATTATATCAGTAAATAAATAGTATCTATATAATTTTACTCACTTAGGGGCCAAATGAGGATTTCTCGGTTGATTGGCCATCCAAGCACGACATATTGGATACAGGGGTGTGTCTTCTTGAAATTGAGCTAAATCGACACTGCGATCAAATAATTTCATCACATATGTATGATGAAACACAGTGTCAGTCTGTATTGGCCGACGACGTCTGACTCTCCGTGGAACATTCACGGATTTTGTCCTAAATGTTACAATTACTGAAAAATTAGTTTATCTCCACAATAATGTTGTCTATATAATTAGAAAAGGATTTTGAGATTTACATTTTTTTCATGGGATGTTTATAATCCGAAATAGGACTGTCATCTGACTCTGCTGATGAACCAGTATCACTATGATGTAATAACTCTCGAAGAGCGCCTTTTAAACGATCCCTTGCTACAAGAACATCACTATCTCCTATATAAACATAATCAGTTTTATAATATTTAATATATCAACACAATTTGCAATAATTTGCTCTGTTTTATATATTACCTATATATTTATATATTACCTATTTCATTTTTTATTTCTACTTTTATCCGTCCTGGCGTTATTGGCGGAGGTTGAATATTTCTTTTCTTCCCCATCTAATCATATTATCAAAGTTTTAGATTAATGTAAATTAATTTAATGTCAATACATATTTATTTAAAGCTACCTACATATGATACATATGAATAGATTATTAAGATAATTGTTAATGTAACATTAATTTATTATAATTAATAATTAATCAAAAAAATTATACATTCAGTAGACAAAAAAAAATTACTTTCAACGATGCTTGAACTACAGAATAATTATTTGACTGTTAATATCTTAAATTTGAATTCATCAGTCTTCGATACTTTGTATTCGTTTATTGCAAGGAATATATTTTGTATGTACCTATAACAAATTGCTAAATACTGTAGTTTGTGTTGTAAAACAATATAGAGCATCACAGAGAGCAAATCTCGTCTTATTTTTTTCTATGATTACATTTAGACAATAACGACTGCACTATCGTTCAATAACAATCACATTTACTTCTAATTCTACTTAGTTCTATTAGATTAGTTTTCAGAAATAAACTAATAAATAACCTCACTCTTTAGCATTTCAATTGACGACGCAAAGATTTCCCGAGCGCTCCTAGTGACGAAATGTGGAACTAGCGTAAAGCAGACAAACTAAAGCTCCGTAGATTATCTTATATAAAGTTAAATGTCTTTTTAAATTTATTTTTGAAATGTTATCCATAATAGATGTAGTAAAATTAACAGAAGGCTTTGCGAGACCCATGCGTGAGGGTGAAGAAATTTTAAATAGTGGACTAATCATTTACGTTGCCAAAAAAGATAAAAAAGATACCACAAATACATTCTAAGATATATAATATTATTAGATTTATATCATCGTCTTATTGCTATTTATTTCCAATCGTATGAATATAGGCTAAGAAATTGTGTAATATTTTGATCTGATTTAGAGTTGCCACTAACTTAAAAATTATATTTAATCATGTGATTTAAAGATGGTAATCTAATTATAATCTTATCCGATGGATCTTCACTAAGAATATCTGCAAGACTATGCTCCTCTTTATTTTTTGAACATAAGGATCTGTCAGTTCCATTATTTGATAAGTTCACTTGAACAACTGCCACAATTGAAAATTTTCGTACACTTTTATGAAATTCTAGAGTAGCAGCTGTTTCTTCTTCTACGTCAAGAGACACTAAGTTGTCAATATTATTTATGGCCATATTAGATTCCCTACAGTAAATAAATAACAATATGTTAACTTATTCCATATACTTTTTGTAGCTAATCGTAAAATAAATAAATATGAATACACAAACCTTTGCTTTTTAGCCCATAATTTAGCTCGATATGATCTACTTTCTATTTGACGTTTTTTTGGTGATGT